TGAAATGCAGATCAAAACTACAATGAGATACCATCTCACCCCAACAAGGCTAGCATTAATCCAAAAAACACAAAATAATGTTGGAGAGGTTGTGGAGAGACTGGAACACTTATACACTTTTGGTGGGAATGTAAAATGGTACAACCACTTTGGAAATCAATTTGGCACTTCCTTTAAAAGCTGGAAATAGAAGTACCATAAAATTCAGCAATCCCGCTCCTTGGAATATATCCTAGAGAAATAAGAGCCGTCACATGAATAGATATATGCACACCCATGTTCATTGCAGCACTGTTCACAATAGGAAAAAAAAGGAAGGAAACAACCTAGATGCCCATCAATGGACGAAAGGTATATTCACACAATGGAATACTATGCAACGATAAAGAACCACGATGAATCCGTGAAACACCTTATAACATGGAGGAATCTGGAAGACATTATGCTGAGTGAATTTAGTCAGTCACAGAAGGACAAATGTTATACAAGAGCACTATTATAAGAACTCAAGGAAAGGTTTTAAACACAGAAGAAAACATTCTTTGATGGTTACAAGGGTGGGGAGGGAGGGAGAGTCTTATTCACTAACTAGATAGTAGAAAAGAATTATCTTAGGTAAAGGGAAGGACAGCACACACTAAAGGGGAAGTCAGCACAACTGTACTAAACCAAAGCTAAGAAGTTTCCTGAATATAACCAAACACTTCGAGGGACAGAGTAGCAGGGGTGGGGGTTGGGGACCATGCTTTCAGGGGACATCTAGGTCAAATGGCATAACAAAGTTTATTAAGAAAAAGTTCTGCTATTCATTTAAAACAATTTCTGAGGCCAACTCTTCAGACAAAGATTGGACTGGACTGTGGAACATAAAATGATACTTGTGAAGAGTGTGCGTCTTAGCTCAAGTAGATACATGAGACTAAACGGGCAGCTTCTGTCTGGAGGTGAGATGAGAAGGCAGAGAGGGTCAGGAGCTGGTTGAATGGACATGGGAAGTCAAGGGTGGAAAGGAGGAGTGTGCTGTCACTGTATGGGGAGAGCAATTAGGGTCACAACAATGTATGTATAATTTTTGTATGAGAGACTAACTTGAAATGTAAACTTTCACTTAAACTACAACAGTAAACAAAAGAAAAACAGAAAAAAAAAACCCCAAATATATATATATATATAAAGTGAGCCTCTGCAATAAAACCTTTCTCAGAAAAAAAAAAAAAAGTTCTGCATCCTACTTTGGTGAGTGGCGTCTGGGGTCGTAAAAGCTAGCAAGCAGCCATCTAAGATGCATCAATTGGTCCCAAACCACCTGGAGTAAAGGAAAATGAAGAACACCAAAGTCACAAGGAAAGCATTAGCCCAAGAGACAGAAAGGACCGCATAAACCAGAGACTGCAACAGCCTGCGACCAGAAGAACTAGATAGTGCCCGGCTACCACCAATGACTGCCCTGACAGGGAACACAACAGAGAGTCCCTCTTGGAGCAGGAGAAAAGTGGGGTGCAGAACTCAAATTCTAGTGAAAAGACCAGACTTAATGGTCTGACTGAGACTGGAGGAACCCCAGAGAGCATGGCCCCCAGACTCTCTGTTAACCCAGCACTAAAACCATTCCTGAGGTCAACTCTTCAGTCAAAGATTAGACTGGACTGTGGGACATAAAATAATACTCGTGAAGAGTGTGCTTCTTAGCTAAAGTAAATACATGAGAGTAAATGGGCAGCTCCTGTCCAGAGGTGAGATGAGAAGGCAGAAAGGGTCGGGAGCTGGTTGAATGGACACGGGAAATCAGAGGTGGAAAGGAGGAATGTGCTGTCACAGTATAGGGAGAGCAATTAGGGTCATGTAACAACATATGTATGAATTTTTGTATGAGAGACTAACTTGAATTGTAAACTTTCACTTAAAGTACAATAAAATGAAAAAATAGAATTTGTAAAAATAATACAGAGAGGCCCTGTGTACCAATCACCCCAGTTCCCCCAAAAGTACCATCTATGTAACTATAGTTCCAGTCTTCAGAAAAAAATATTATGGTAAAAATAAGTCTTCCAGGAATGTGTGGGGTTAGCCAGTAGATGATTACTAAAGGGAATGACAAAACAAAACCATATTTCTCTATTTCCCAATCCCCAATGGTTTTCCAGCTACTTACACCTGAAGTATTTGAATCATGTTTGAGTGAGTATTTCAGTAGCACAACATGCTTACTGCAATCTTTAAAAGGAGTCCAGTTTTACACCTGGAAAATATTGTTGGTTATCCAGATATAAATATTAACCATCTGGTGAAGTATTGTTTAAGATTTGGAGTTTAGTTTAAAATCTGCATATTGCCATTTTTAACTTGAAAAAACAAATTTTTAACTAGAAACAGATAATTCCCAAGATATTTCACCTGCATTCATTAACTAAAACACAAGTTGTATCATGTCACTCTGTACAAAACCCTCCAGTGGAGCATTCCCTTCCCTGTTTGTACCGTGTTCCCTTCTACCTCAGTCTCTTGATGTAACCACAACCATTGCTGTCAGTTTGGTCTATATCCTTGCAACATTAACTATTCATTTATAACCTTTTATTTAAACAAAAATGATGTCATTCTATGCATATTACTCTGAAAATGGCTTTTTTCCTTTTGTATTTACAGTTGAATATCCCACCCTCTTTACATAAAGATATATATTCTCTTGATACGTGTTCTGACACACTAGAATGAGAAAAGCTTTCTGTTTTATTGGTTTCAGATTACATAATGATTCTTTTATCATGTTGGTATATAATGGTGGATTTTGTATTTATAAAATAAACAACATCTTTTAATAATAATTATGTTTTTGTATCTACAACATGAAATAAATACTTTAAAAATCACTATTGCCATGTTGTTGTTAGTTGCTGTGAATTCGGCTCTGACTCATGGCAACCTTATTTATCACAGAACGAAACGTTGCCTGGTTCTGTGCCATCTTCATGATCGTTGGTATACGGTTGCCATAACAGTGTAATATTTGATATGTAGATGGATTCACCACCAAAGAAAACTCTGAAATACACACAGCACAGCACGGATTCTTAAAATAAAAGCAATTAATTATGAGAACGTTTTTATTATTATAGTTACTCCCAGTTGAGAAGCTTCATTTGCTTTTGCCTCTGCTTTTTAGTAGAGATATTAAGATTGTGTAAAGTATAGAAAAGTTGATAGCCAGTAATGGAGCCAGAGGACTTGTCTGTGCACAATCAGGACTAATTAGCTAATTGATAAATGAGAGGTGCCACTGTGGGTAAAGACTGCAAATGAGGCCTCAGATTGGCTTTTGATGATTTTGAATGTATTTTATTTCAGTTATCTCCTTACTTTAGTTGGTTTGAATTTTAATATGTGAAAACTTTGTTATTTTTTCTTACAGTCTCGAATTATAGCGGTACTGGATTGGGAGCTTTCAACCATTGGTCATCCTTTGTCAGACTTAGCTTATCTTTGCGTGTTCTACTTTTGGCCAAGGACAGTTCCAATGATAAATCATTGTTCTTATTTTCAAGAAAACATAGGTATAAAAATATAATGCTGTCTAATTTGATATTAATGTAAGATTGTCTTTATTATTCATAATTTAAAAATTTTAGGATTATCTTACTATTTTAGGTAAATAACTTTTATTCATTTCCTGAAAATATTTCCACATCATTTTATTTTTATTGATTTTTCTGAACTTAACACTCCATTTTTAATAATTTATGACAAAATTTGATCCTTTGTATATAATGTTCTTTTTGGAATCAAAATTTAGAATGTTTTATTACATGGATTAATAGTTATTATATTCTATTTTTTTATATATCTGCAGTATTATGACATTTTGACATATTCACCATGTTTTGTTTTGTTTTTTTATTAAAGTTTATATTATGTGATGTTTTTTACAGGGATACCATCAGTGGAAGAACTGATTTCAATATATTGCCGCCACAGGGGAATTAATTCTGTTCTTCCTAACTGGAACTTCTTTCTGGCTCTTTCATATTTTAAAATGGCTGGAATAGCACAGGTAAGAAAAAGCTAAAAATCTTAATTGATGATCTCAACCTCTGACTATAAAGCCATTGATTTACTAGGGCTGATGATGAGGGAAGAGTTTTCTTTGTACTTCCCAGAGCCTAGCACAGTACCTAGCAAATAGAAGCCTCTTAATATATCATTTTTAGTGAATATATAAGTAAAATTTTCCATTTTCCAATAATGTCATATTTATGTGATTAATTTTGAGAGGAAATTGAGCATAAATTCAATTGTTTGAATTATATTTTAATTTAAATAAATGCATTCTTTGTTATACTAGTCCAGTTTTCAAGTACTTTAAATTTCAGGGATTTATTTAATAAATTTAAGTACTTCGTAAGTATCAGTGAAAAGGGGGTAGGGTTTGGAAGAAGAGGTAAATAAAAATTTTTAGAGAAGAAGAATGGAAAAGAAGGATTAAGGAAAATTATAGGTATTTTCCCTGTCCTCAGAGTTCATGCTATTCACAAACAGCTAGAATGTCTTCTAGGAAATAATTGTGTTACATCTTATCTCATGTTCTAAAGGTTGAGCATGTTGAACAAGATGTGTTTCTCAAAATAAGATTTAGAGTATCTTTCAATATCTGTCAATTTCCACAAACCAGATACCAAATAGGCTTTGAATTTTAAATGGCTTTTCATTTCAAATAGATGTTTGACATGGGTTATGATTAAGTTAATATATGCATTATAAACTATGTAGTTGTAGCCTTAGAGTTATGATCGTAAACATTCCATTTCAACTGGCAATATGAAATTGGAAATGATGGAAAACTGTTACAGTGTTTTATAGCCTAAAGAATTGGTTATACAAAGATGAAGTAATGGAATTCAGTTGTTGGTGGGTTTGGGGTTTTTTTTTTTTTTTTTTTTTTTTTTTGGAGGGTGTTGTATTATGTTGGATGGTACAAACGATTAAGGAACTTAGCTGCTAACTGAAAGACTGGAGGTTTGAGTCCACCCAGAGGCACATTGGAAGAAAGGCCTGGCAATCTACTTCTGAAAAATCAGCCTTTGAAAACCCTGTGGAGCACAGCTCTACTCTGACACAGATGAAGTCGCCATGAGTGGGAACCGGCTTGATGGCAACTGTTTTGATTTGGTTTTTGTATTATGTTGGAAGCATAAAACATAGAGAATTAAGAAAGAAAAACTGATTAGTATTCAGCTAACACTGTTCAAAGGAGACAGTCATGCCTAAATTAGAGGGTCAAAAAAATGAGGGAAAATATTCTTAGAAGTTATATAATTGCCTTCTCTTTGGTTTTTATGATTTTTTTTTTTATCTTATTTTGGTTTCTTTAGAAGTTTTCCCCCCACTAGGAAGGAAGAGTAGTAATCCCTAGAGGTGATATAAACTGCAGGTTTGGTATGTTTGTTAACCGCTGAGCTCATTTTCAAATTTGGTTTGATTCTTGGTTACCATTCTGCTAGGATGAGAGTGTGTTAAGTAGATGTAACAAGCACGACTCTTTAATTTATGGAGGTATAATTATCCCTACATATAAATTAATAGAATTGATAGTCTGATTTATATCTTAGTAACTTGTGAGTTTAGTTAATAATAAATAGTAAATTTACTGGATCCTGTTCCACACTGGGTGACCCATGTAGTTGAGAAACTGTAGATAGACTTATTGGATAGTTGAAGGATCATTTTCAATAAATCTTAATTGCTCTATATTAATTTACTTGTAGGGAGTCTACAGTAGATATCTGCTGGGAAATAATTCATCTGAGAATAGCTTTTTGTTTGCCAATCTTGTGAAACCTCTGGCAGAAACTGGATTACAACTCTCAAAAAGGTAAACAAAACAGATTTCTCGGCTAACTCAAATTAGAGCCTTTATTTTACTTAAAATAGGTATGAGGATGTTATAAACTTTAGGAGGATAGGAGTTGTTTTTATTGCTTACTCTACAATTGCTGCTGCCAATCACAGTAATTTGTTTGGTAAATCTCTTATATCCTAAAAATAAAGTGACTTCAAATATAAAGAAAATCCCCGTATTCATAATGAAAGTATTTTTTATTAGCCAACCTGAATGTATAAACTTTTAAGAATATAGATAAAATTGTCAAATGTTCCCTTATAACATTTCTTACTTACACGTACCTATTTAAAATTACATATTATGTAAAATGATTTATTAATTTAGAAATACTGCTCTCCTCCACTGTCATGACTCCTGAAATTTTATTCAGACATTTCATAAGTGTCTTTGACATCAGCACCTCCGTCATTGGAGCACACTACGAGGCACTTGGCCAATCACACTTCTCTCCAGATGGCGTGATATGCAGCACTCCTGAGTGCACATATGATGCTGTCCCTGGAAATCCTGCCTAAGTCACCAGTACCAGTACCCACAGCATAGCATCAGCACAGTTATTTTTTACAGTTCGTCTTACAGATGAATCTTTGTGATCACCACAACATAATCACCTACTGTGTTACACTTCATAATGACTGTCATAGATTGAATTAGGTCCCCCAAAAAATGTGTGTACAATTTGGCTGGGCCATGATTTCCAGTATTGTGTGATTTTCCTATATGTTGTAAATCCTGCCTCTATGATGTTAATGAGGGAGGATGAGCAGCAGTGAGGCAGGACTCAGTCTACAAAATTGGATTGTGTCTTGAGGCAATCTCATGAGATATAAAAGAGAGAAGCGAGCAGAGAGACAGGAGGACCTCATACCAACAAGAAAGCAGTGCCGGGAGCAGAGCATATCCTTTGGACCTGGAGTCCCTGCATGGAGAAGCTCCTAGTCCAGGGGAAGATTGATGAGAAGGCAGATGAGAGAGAAAGCCTTTCCCTGGAGCTGACCCCCTGAATTTGGACTTGTAGCCTACTGGACTGTGAGAGAATAAACTTCTCTTTGTTAAAGCCATACACTTGTGGTATTTCTGTTATAGCAGCACTAGATGACTAAGACAATGACCGATGAAGATTTTATTTCTAATTACATCCAACAGTTGTATTTGTGAGGCATATACCAAGGAATAATTATTAAATTTGTGTTCAATTTCTTGGTTTCCTTTTCTAGAGATTCTGACAGGTGGCTTCAATAAAGACTCAAAACACCTTGATTGAGATCATGCCAGGCTCATGTGTTTTCCCCCAAATAGTACTTTAAGCATTAAAGTTTAACGTACAAAATAAAGTGATTCTGCATTCACCCCATAATATGAGAGATAAAAAACAAAATATAGTAACTCATTCTGAGGAATTTCCAGGGGTGAGGGGAGGAGAGGAGATGGAGGATGGAGAGACTTCTTGTTATATTCAGAAATGTATAATAATGATTTGGGATATCTGTCATTCTTTTTTTTTTTGTAAAGAACTTTCAATACCGCACTACCACAGACTGATACTGCTGGACATTTGTTTGTACAGACTAGGACAGGCCGAGAAGTTCTTACTAGGGTGAAGGATTTCATGAAACAACACATCCTTCCAGCTGAAAAGGTAGGTATTGTATAAACAAACAGAATGTATTTGTGCTGAAGGACTGTTGATGACTCACTTCTGTTATCTCTGCTTCTAGGAATACCAAGGCATCCTTATCTTTGCAGTCATTCCTTACCTAGATTTCTCTCTTTACCCTAGCACTGGGAATCCCTGGGTGGTGTGAACAGTTGCTCAGCTGATAAGCAAAAGGTTGAAAGTTTGAGTCCATCCAGAGGTGCCTCAGAAGAAAGGCCTGGCAATCTACTTCTGAAAAATCAGCCATTGAAAACCCTATGGAGCACAGTTCTCCTCTGACACACATGGAGTCGCCATAAGTCAGAATTGACTCAGCAGCAACTGTTTTATCCCAGCACTGAGCTGCTTCAGGACCTAATCCAGAAAAATTCCAAGTTTTTAAAAAATGCCAAGGGAATGCCACAGATAAGTTTGTGGAATGAAAAGCTGAAAGGGATTAGTTGTTTGTAAGATTGGGGTCCTAAATTTTTTTAAAATTATTATTACGTGTCCATTTGAGAATTTAATGAGACCGCTAGACTATACAAGTGGACATACCCAGAAAATTTTGCATGTCATTTCAAGATGTTCACAGATACTATGACCTCTCTCCCCCATCAGATAGTATTTTAAAGTGTTAAGTGTCTGTTCACTGGAGGTAGAGAGGCAAAATAGTACATTCATTCATTCAGTTAAAAAATAATAATTGGTTGCCTGATAATGGGCTAAGCTCCTGGGGAGCCACTGATGGTAAAAGAAAGAACAAGACAGACAGGGCTTATGCTCCTGTGTAGCTTACAGTTTAGCAGACAAGAAAGTCATTAAATAAGAGATAAGTGCTATGAAGAAAAGTGGAAAGCTCTTACGAAAATATGTGAGGGAGATGGGGCAGGGTGTGTGTGCAGGTAGAACACTGGCGTAGGAATTCTAAGACGTTGATTCCAGTCCACCCTGCCACAAGTTAGGAGGTCTTGGGCAAATAACTTTCTCTCTCCAGGCCTTAGTTAATTCATCCACAGTGTGAGTAGATATGACTAGTTATATAATAAATCCCATTTTAATCTTCTATGATTCAGAGAAGTCTAGCGCTAGAGTGGCAAAGTCAAATAGGGAACTGAAAAAACACCAGAAACCTCTTTCAACAAAAATGTTCAGAGCTGATATGTGTTTGTAGGGCAGATAGTGTTGTTGCTTGAATTAAAAGAATAGTTATCGTATTTTTAGTAAAGATCTGGGTTGAGATGAACTCAGCTCGCAGAGTGAGGTAAAGTTTTTAAAGAGTGTGCTATTTAAATTTGAGGAAATTTTCTAACACAGTGACCTCTCATTTGTGTTCAGTGGTTAAGGTATCACTTTGGAGACTTTCTGCTCTATTTTTTCAATTTTGAGCTTTAAAATGCTGGACTTTTAGGTATTTAAAAGGGAATGCAACACTTCTGGTTCAAGATGGTTGACTGAATTCAGCATTTACCTCCCTCCCTCAAATAAAGTCCCATTGAAATAACAATAAAGAGGTTTTAGAAAATGAAATAAATTCTTCTAACAGGAAAACAGATGGGGTATGCATCAGAGCACTAAAGGTTTTGAAAATAAAATAGAAATTGGAATCAGAAAGCAGAATGGATCATACTAGAGAATAAACCATCACAGAGGAAACCACATCTCAGTAGAAATGAGAGGAGGCTGCAGCAGGGGCGGTAACCAATTTTTCACAGTGGAGCCCACTGTGATTGGCTGATATGAAGAGCAAGAGTGAGAAGAGGAAGAGAAATGGAGATGCTTGACTGAAGAATTATGTGCAGAAAGGCTGCTTGGGTTGGTCTCTGATACCCCATGAGCAGTGGTGTTTGCCACTAGACAGAAGGCTGCAGTCATACTCTAAAGAGAGTAAATGATCTGCTTCAAAGATTCCGGGCTTTCCGAAGTGAGGATTGGTACCCTAGAGTGGGGTCCTCCATGTTTTAACTTTATTGTTTTCTTGTAGGGGAAGACTTTGATGGAGACCTCAGCTTCCCCATCAGCCTGTCTGATTCCCTTCTACCAACCCTGTTGCTGTTCAGTCGATTCCAACTCATAGTGACCGTATAGGACAGAGTTAACCGCCCCAAGGGTCTCCTAGGCTTTAATCTTTGCGGAAGCAGACTGCCACATCTTTCTCCTGCAGAGCTGCTGGTGGCTTCAAACTGCTGACCTTTCGGTTAGCAGCTAACCTTTCGTTTAGTTTAACCACTGTGCCACCAGGGCTTCTTTATTCCCAACTGCTCACCCTAAAATGAAGCCATCTATTGATGTGCTAAAACTTATAACCAGCCTGTCATTCAGAGGAGAGGCTAGATAGAATTGACAGAGGAAACCAAGCAAGTGCCCTGTATTATATATTAGCTTACTCTTTCATTCATAAATATGAATAGGCAAGCAAGGGAGAACAAGGAACACAAAAGAGAAGTGTCACAGGTCCAGTTGTGATACATCTACTGAACTTCATATCATGTAGCTATTAAAAGATTTACAGAAGAGTCACAATAAAAGAATTTTTTTTTTGTTACGTGAAAAAGCAGTCTATACCTTTAAACGGAAGGTTGTAAATGTTTTGTGTGACAGGGGAACCCACAGTCATCTTGTCTTTGCAGATCTTTCAGACCTGCAACATATCCACATCTGATAAATGTGAGCTTTTTCTTTTTATTAAAAAAACTTGTGCAAATGTTTATCAAACTGTTTTCTCCTATAAGTATTTTGTTACCTACATATTTACCACACACAACACACACACACGCGCACACACACACACGGGTGGATTAACCAGCAATCAAAGATGTAGTGAAACCCATGTGAAATTGTGCACTACAGATTAGTAAATAAGCACAAGTAAGCTTGGGTAATCTGTCCCTGCACACACAAAGGTATTTAAAAAAAGAAAGAAAACTATTTTATCCTATAGAGTGATTCTGAACAATACTAATCCCAGTCTGTGAAATACACATTTGGGATGATATTTAGAGAAAAGTAAGTAGCTTTTTTCAAAATGGATGAGGATAAAGTCTATATAATTCTATTCAATATTATTTTAACTATCTTTACAAAAACCAAACTAGTTATGTCTAGAAATTTAAGATTGTATCATATAATTTACCCACATTTTAACAGTATCTGTCTTTAACTCTCTTGATTACTTTTTGTCATAGTTTTACATATATTTCAAATTTTCTATAGTGGGGAAAAAAAGTTTAACCATTCTAATGGCGTTTTGAAACTCCCTGGATATCTAAAAGTGACGTGGAAGCTGAGAACATAAGAATCTGTTATCTGTCAAAATATTAAAAGCCCATTCATCCTATTTAAAATGGATAAGAAGACTTCTGGCAAATGACACTCTAGGCAGAAGCACCATGCCATCCCTCCGCAGAAAAGATCCAAAAAACTAAGCCAGACAGAGAAAACAGTAATTCTGAAACCCTAAATCATCAAATGAAGAGGTAAAGAACTCAGCCAAGCACCAAATGGAGTGAGAACACTGACAGAGAACGGAGAGCGAGGAGAGATTCATGCAGAGGTCCCCTATCAGCTAACGCAGCATGGATCCGCCATCTTGGACTCCTATTGGAGACCAGCAAATACAGGGTACAAGAAAGCAGCTTCTTGGAGCTTCCAGCAGGAGACAAAACAACCGGTAATTTGCGGTGTACGCTTTCCCACCCCCCACCCTTCTTCAAACCCACTCGGCCTCCTCTGCTTCTGGCACCCACAGTCTCTTGGCCAGGAAGTACCGGCTGCTTAGATTCCACCTTCCTGCACCAGCCGGCTCCCTGAGTGCCATTTATTGGCTGCTGGTGTTGCTTTTTTCTGCTGCTTTTGATTTCTTCCTTACCTCTCACCACTTCCCCCTCCTTTCACTCAAATACCTGGCTCTGTGTGCCATCTTTGCATCTTCCTGAGGGGCTGCGGAGCTCCGTTCGAGTGGGGAACTGCTTCCCAGTCTGGGCTGCCATGCTGGTGGGATCCTGGGGCTTTAGTCTGTTTGTTTGTTTTGAACTGTTTTCTTTTCCTTCTCTTGAGGTGGGAGCCCATTCTGGCCGGGCGATGCTGCGTGGCTTGGGACCTATCCCCTTCGCTTGCGCAGACTCTCAGAGGGATCCCTGAGAACATTTTCTTTTTCATGGTTTTTTTTTTTTTTTCCTGTTTTTTGGGGGGATTTTCTTGTTCTTTTTTTTCTTTTTAAATTGTTTTGTTTTCTTTTCCCTCTTTTTCCCTTTCTGTCTTTCTTCATTACTCAGTTTCTCGTCTCTCTATACCTTCCTTCTCTTCCTGTTTGCTGAATATCTGGCGCTGGATACCTCTACACCTTCTAGCCAGGCTGAACTGCAACACCTGAGAACAACTTCCCCAGACCTCGTAGCTGCACCGGTGGGATCCCTGGGAGCTTTGCTGTTCTTTTTCCTTTCTAATTTTTATTTATTCATTCTTTTCTTTTTTTTCTTCTTCTTCTTCCCTTTTTTGTTTTTCTCCATTTCATAGTCTCTCATCACTCCAACAGCAAGCTCCCCTAGCACTCTTTTTTGTTTGTTTGTATGTTTTTGGCTCCTGTTCCTCTCTCCTCTCTCCCGTATCCATCTTAGCTCCACACAAACCATCTCCCCCCTCCATCCTGCCTACCTGCACCGTGCGCTTAACATCACACCACCAAGCAGCACAGGCAAAGCCTACCAGAACCTACCCTGCACTAATTACCGACCCGCCCTGGTGGCTGTAGTAAGTGCCACAAACAACCCATCCCAGTAACTCCTCTTCAGCCAGACCTGCCCTGCTATACCATATCTGAGCGACGGACTCTGCCAATTGGAGAAGGAGGTGAAAAGTATCGTGCCCACAGACGAGCAAACAACCAAGAACACACAGCCTGCCTGCTCAGACATAGCCAAATTTTTTAAAAAAAGGTTAAAAAAAAACCAAATCTACAATCAGTAAATGAGAAAAATAACTACTGAATGCCCCAAAGACAGCAG